CCCGCCCCGCCGCCCGCCCCGCCGCCCGCCCTTGGGGCCGGCTACCTGGGCCTCCTTCCCCAGAGCGCTCCCAACTTCCCCCCTGACTTTCCCGCGGCACAATTATCTTTTAATTCTTTTTGAAAGAGTTCAGAATTCAATTACTGGAAGCCAGCGGAGCAGGCAGGGAGGAAGCGCCCAACAGGGAAAACGCCCCGGGGGCCGCGCTAATCCAGCCAGCCGGGGTCCGCGCTTCTTTGGGGGACCCACTGCAGAAATGCAGCCGCCTCACCACGTCTGGGGGATCTAAAGCCCGCCTTGCGCCTCGGCGGGGCCCTCTCCCTGCTCTGGACAGCGAGGCGAGCGCAGCTGGACCCGGGCCGCCCACGCCAGGGCCGCGGCTTGATGGGAACTTTGGCCTGTGGGGGCGCGGGGGGCGTCGAGCGCATCAGGGCGCTGTTGGCGCCTGGGACAGCTCCCGGCCGCGTGAGCTGCCCAGGCCGGGCTGGGGCGGGAGGCCGGCGCCCTGCGAGGACAGCAGGTGGCCGGCCGCCAGGGCCTCTCTGGACGGCGTGAGGAAGCGCGCGCACGCCGGCTCCCTGACAGATTTATTTTATTATGAGAGAAAGATCTGAGACTCGTCCTCCTTAATAACTGTGCTGACAAGTGACAAGCTCACCCCATTACTTTTCAATGGGAACATTACTCACGCAATATTGAAAATGGAGAAACATTTTCACGTGCTTTTCAAATCTGAGATGATCTATGAAATGGAGAGACGCTGGTGTCCGGCGCTGCCACGAGGCGCCCAGGCCCCAGCCCCGGCCGGAGGGCAGCTGCCCGCGCTTTCTCTCTCGTGAAACAGGCAGCCAGGGGCAGCGGCAGGAGCGCGGACGGCGTCTCGAGTCCCCCGCCCCTCGGCCGCGCACCCCGGGACACGCTGCTCCGTGACGGGGGCCGACCGACCGTCTCGGCCGCCGCCAAGGGAGGGCCAGGGAAACTGGGGACCCCCGGGGACCGCGAGCCACTCGGAAGCTGTGGGAAGCCGGAGAGGCGAGGTGGCCCGGGGCCGGAGTGGGGGCGTCCATTTCCGGGCGAGGCCCGGCTGGGCGCTGGGGCTGCGTGGGTTCTCCCACGAATAACACACAGCAAGGGACAGAACAGCCCTGAGTCCTCTTCCCCCCACATCTCAATTCACGGCAAGCTCGAGCTGGAGGCTTCGGCTCCTAGAACACGGTTCAGAGTTCACCACGTCTTCAAAAATTTTAAGTTCACGGAACTTCCATCCACGGCACTTAGGAATTTCACATATTCCCAATTTCTAAATCTGGAAATCCATCTTCATTATTCGAAGAATAATTAACAGCGAATAATTAACGAAACAAACATAAAAAAGCGGCACCCTGCTCCAGGCGGCACATCTGGGCCGGCCTGCAGGCGCAGGGCCGCGCCAGGGCACGCAGAGCGCAGTTGGCGCGGCTGCTGAGCCTGGCGGGCGGCGCCAGCTCGCAGGGCCCCACCCCGGTCCGCGAGAGCAGGGCTGAGGCTCCACCCACTGGCACCAGGCTGCACCCGGTGACAGGCTGCAACCCAGAGCCGAGCCCAGAGCCCGTCCTGGCGTCCTCGGCGGCACGCGGCATTTTCTGGGACCCCAACAGCACATCCTGGGGTGACCGCCCTAGGGCGCCTGGAAGTGTGACCCATAAAGCAGCCCACGTGCCCCAAAACACCTGCCACAACAGAACTCGAAGCACTGGGCCTGGCGGGAGCGCCTGGAGCCCAAGGCGGCGGGGACGCGGAGGGGCATGCGGTCACCTCCTTCCTCCAAGGGCTGAAGCGAGCCCGTCACCTGCTCATGGGCAGCGTCTCTGCCAAGGGTCCCTCCTGGCAGGCTGAACCTGCCCCGTCCTGACCGACGAACAAGCCGAGGACACAGGTCCGCACGACAGGCCCTGCTTGCCTCCTCTCAGGAGCCGAACGCCGCCCGCACCTGTCTGCCTGGGGTCTCGCCGCCTCCTTTCTGCGCGAGTCACTCTGAGCTGGGCGACGCCCTACGGCAGCCTCGCTCACGGGGCCGCTGGCCGGGCTGCGTGGTGCCACCCGCACACTCCAGTCACCGTGCGAGTCACCCGGGCACAGGCAAGGCAGCGTCCTGGCAGCTTTATGGACACACACGAGAGCCCATCTCCAATGGGGTCCAGGGGTAAACGGCAAAGTCGAGTTGATGACAAGCCCTGGGAGAGGGGCAGAGGACGAACCTGAGGCGCACCTGGCAGGCTCACCTGGTGAGCACACCTGGCAGGCTCACCTGGAAGCAAACCTGGTGGCCTCACCTGGCAGGTTCACCTGGAGGTACACCTGGCAGGCTCACCTGGAGACACACCTGGTGGCCTCACCTGGCAGGTTCACCTGG